ATTGGGTAGGCTACAATGTTTTAAAAGCTTAAGGTGCAAGGTGAAGAGCATACCTTTCTGAGGCAAGGTGCAAAGTTTTTAAAAATTTCATAAAAAAGCAAAAAAGCAAAAACAAAGCAAGAATAGTATTAATTGAAAAAAATGCTAATGTTAGTTTTGAACTAAATGGTACAAAAAGTTATTAGCTCAAATTAAAACAAATAAGCATAACATATAAAACATATTCAAATGAAGATGCAAAAATAAATTCAAACATAACAAGCAAAACATATTCAAGCACTCAACATTTCAATTGTGTGGAACTTTCATTCTTTTTATTTCTTTTTTTTTGTTAAATTTCAATTTCTTTATTTCTTTCACAATCACATTACTTCAAACAGCTGATGTGATGTTAAGCATCTTGCATTCCTAATTCTATGAGCCACCTTTGTACCAAGCCCCTTGAAGCAATATGTCTATGCTAGGATCTTAAATTCTGAATCCACATGTAAAAATTGTTTTTTTTTTTAATTTTAATTATAGTTTCTCTTTAAAAATATCTTCTATTAGGAATGAATGATCACCATTAGAATAAAGGGTGGTTTTCGAAGACCCTGGCCTGACCACAGTGCTTCAAAAAGTGCAAAAAGGCGTAAAACTTAACTGAGGCATGCCCCTGAACTGAAGCACAAAGTGCACCAGCACCAGGCGTGCCATATCGCTACATGAATCCTGTTTCACCATTCTGTTCTGTTTAGTGCAATATCATTAGATGTTAATTATACGTAATTGTTATATGGTTACACGTAAATTATAATCCATTAAGCTACAAAATTAAATTGGAAGATGATTTAATTGCAACTTGCAACTGATTTTCATAAACAAATAACAGGATTCTTGAATGGGCTCTCTGGCTTAACATATTAAGAACCATGGTTTTTACCCAACATATGTTGCTTGCAGTGTCAATATATAAAGGGGGCATACAGCTTGCAAGACAGTTGAATTATGATAAATTGGTCATTGAAGAGGGGACTCTAAGTTGGTAGTTGAAGGACCCGGAGGTAGTATCCTGGTTTTATAGTGATGAAAATCAAAAGATTCAAATGACTTACCAGCAATGACTCTTAAAATTCAATGAAAAGAGCAGTTAATGGGATGGCAAATACTCTAGCCAAGCAACGGGTTGATAGGGTTCAATTGTAATTTGATGTGCCTTGGGAGAGGCTGCACCTTGCACTTCTTCTTAGTCCTCTTGTAATAGTTTCTCTTTATAGTTACTTTTAATAAAATTTAAAGTTAATAATTTTATATAGAAGGGGGCATATTACTTAGTGTTAAGTTGTCACCTGGATGATCTCAATGCCTAGGCAAAACTTTGACTACTCATTAAAAAGTAGTGATCATGTTACCACTAGGATGAAAATGAGAAGCATAATGTATATCTATATATTAAAACAAGGTTGTTCACACTGGCACCATTCTTTTTGCTGTTAGAGGTGGTTTGCATACCACCAATGGTAGACTGTGAAGGTTGCATGAAATTCATCTCCAAAAATAACACAATATCAGGCGTAGGTGGGAATTGGGAAAGGAAGCAAGAGAGACAAATGGAGAACTGCATGGGATTGAGCGAGCCCATTCTCATGGAACCAGTGATCAATTGTCTCAAAAGCCAAACTTTTTGAGTAATTAATGTATGCATAAGATACAGGGGTCTCTCTAAAGGTGAAGACAACAAAAGCGGTCTCTGCAAATGAATGCAGAATGGCAGTGTAGACATCTTACGAGGGAGATAATCAACCTAAAGAAAAATAGTTGTTGCTGTTCAATGGACTTACAGAGATGCCAATGGTTTGGCAGATGGGTTAGCAAGACAAGGGGTTAAATGAGGGAATTTGTTCTGGGGAATGGATCACTTCTTGATGTACTGTATATGCGATTAGAAAAGTTTAGGACTTCAGGGTATTGCCATCCTAACCTCTGGGATGGCTGTTTCATTTCTTTATCTCTCTAATAATGTAAATTTCTGTTATTCATAAGAAAAACACAAACTATCAATCATCCTTAACATAAGCACTAGGGTAGTTTTAGTAAGTTCAATATATTGGCCAGTAAGGGTTGGATTTAGCCTAATACTGTAGCCTACCCATACCCATACAGATTGTAAAATCCCCAAACCTGCCCCCCTCAAATCAGTTT